TCTGTGCTCTCTGCTCTTCTCTGATAATACATTCTCTTTGTTGCTTCATGTTCCCTTTAGAAATAATCTCTTAAATCCACCAGGACCTACTGTATTAGTTAAAAACAAAACAAAACCCAAAAACCCAGAACTTAGACTATACAGGCCGAGGGCCTCTGTGGCGGTGCCTGAGCTTTTCATGACCCAGCATCACACAGCTGTCCCTTCAAAGTAAGGACGTTTGAAGAGGGTGTCTTCATCAAGGGCTGAGGCGGAAGCGTGGGAGCTGACAATGCAGAGCCCAGAAGAGCCATGATCAACTTATCAGCAATGGAGAGCTCTCCAGAATCCCAGGGTCGCTGTGAGAAGAGGAAGCAGCAGCTTGAGCCCCCACACACACACCTCCGTGTCCTTGGGGCTTCTTTGTCTCCCCAGAGGTTTGTTCCGGCCTCTCCCACCACCTGGACGTCACGCATTGTCTCCTCGCGCACGCATTGTGCCTCACTGCCCATCCCCCAGACCTCCCGCCTCTCTGGTGCCTCTCCGGTTCTTTGTGTGTCGTGGCCCCTCTGTCTTCCTCTCCCTCAGCCCCGCTCCCTCCTCCCTGCTCTGCAGACAGCCTTTATAGAATTTTGCTCTGTTTGTTCATCATTCCTGCTGTATGTGTGTGTGCACACACACGCATGCGTGTGCATGTGTGTGTGTGAATGCACACGCATGCCTGTGTATGGAGAAGCCAGGAACCAACAGGGATCTGCTTGTCTCTGCCCTCTCAGCTCTGAGACTATGATGCCAGGCCACCAGTCCTGGCTCTAACATGTCTTCTCGGGATCTGAACTTGGGTCCTCATGCTTTTGTGTCATGCACTTTACTTACTGAACCATCTGCACAGGTCTTACCTTGTTTTTGAGACAGGGTCTATCATTGGCCTGGAGCTGGCTCAGTTAGGCTGGAGTGGCTGGCTATCAAGCATCAGGGACCCATCCTTCTCTGCCTCCCCAGTGTTTGAATTACAAGCACAAGAAACATTATGCCAGGCATTTTTATGATTCTGGGATTCTTCTTTGTGTTATATGTGTGTTAACAAACAAGATTAGTTCCCACCTTTTCTGTCTTTCTTCATTTGTCTGCTTGTCTGTCTATTTACCACCCATCATTCCATCCATCCACTATCCACTCACCCATCACTCATCCATCTATCCATCCATCAATTATCCACTCTTCCATCCATCCATCCATCCATCCATCCATCCATCCATCCATCCATCCATCCATCTATTCATCTATCCATCCATCCATTATCCACTCATCTATCACCCATCCATCTCTCCATCCATCAATTATCCACTCTTCCATCCATCTATCCATCTATCCATCCATCCATCCATCCATCCATCCATCCATCCATCCATCCATCTATTCATCTATCCATCCATCCATTATCCACTCATCCATCACCCATCCATCCATCCATTATCCACCCATCCATCCACCTATCTATCCATTCATCTGTCCATCATCCATCCATCCATCATCCACCCATCCATCCATTCATCTATCCAAGTCAACAAATGTGAACTGGGCAGCTATTGTGTTCTTGCTGAGGCAGAGAGCTCAAAGTCCTAGTGTGCTCTAAAGAATGTGAGTCCACCACACCCCAAGGTGACTGAGGGTGACAGAGGCTCACCAAGAGTGCTTTTGGGTGTCACACTTTGGGGGTGTCTTTCTGTGGTACCCATGTCTCCTCCTTGCATCGCATCTTCCCAGCTTCAATAGGTCACAGGGAAGGTCATCTCCTGCAGCACCTGTTCACACACAGACAGTTCCTGGATCATGCCACCCACTTATGAGGCTCCTGAGACAAGCTTCCCTCCCCTTACCTCTGCATTGCCTGTGCCCTCCTGTGGATCTTGGTGTGGAATTATATTCACACATCCACACTTTCTAAGCCTGTCTGGAAGCTTCCTGAAACATTGCCGCAAACCCCAGGAACAATCAACTTCTAAGGGAAAAAAGAGTTCTGTGGGCCTCAGTTCTGGAGATTTTCAGTGCTTGGTTGAAGGCCTCTGTTGTTTTTAGAACTGCGATGATACATCCTGGCAGAAGTACGTGGCAGAGAAAGCCATTGACCTCACGGCATGAAAGTGGGAAGGGAGGGGCCAGACCCCACATGCATTTCCAGTTCCGTCCCACTCTAAAGGTTATGCCTGTGACCGCACCGCAGCAAGCCTTTACCACAGGACTAAATCGTAACCCTGGGCGTTTCTGGGCTCCAGCCTTGACCTTCTGCTGCTCTTCTCCACTGCCCTCCTCCCTTGCATGCCTCCTACTTCAAGTTCAGCCAGCCTTTCCTTTCAGCTCCAGCCTCCTGCCTCCTTTGTATTTGTATACCACACCTCTGTGGAAAATCTCCTCTCCTGGGGTTTTGGAGGGAAGCCTGAACTCATTCGGCTCCCCCAAATGACCTTTAGTTCCCTGGCCATTCTTCCCTTTAGTCCACAGGCCACAGGGAACTGGAAGGGATGCTGGGCGCTGACCCACCACTTCCCTACCTCACACCTTGGCCACCTCCTGATGTGGCCAACGCCTGAGTCCACCGTGTCCACCTCTCAGCCCCCTGGAGGCTGCCAATAATCCATCTGCCAATCAAATCAGCTCTTTCCTCTCTCATTCTCCCCTCCAACCTTCACCAGACTTGGGATGGGTCCTTTAGCTTGTCTTGATCCCAGCAAAGCCAGCCTCCTGCTTTTCCCTGCTCCTTTCCTCTCAGGGCTCCCTTACCTACGGTGTCCTTCCCAGGGCCCGGGGGCACTCACGCCTTGGCTTTCTTCTCACCTGGGATACCCCACGTCCATTGCCATGGCTGATGAGCAGCCCCCTTTGCCAGAGTCCTAGGGGATTTTGCCATGGGCACTGGAATTTGGCTTTTTCTCTGAGCCTCTCAGGCTGTGTCTGCTTGCAGGGGTCACAGCACTGGGATGGCTAGAGGGGTCATGGATGGGTGGACAGAGGGACGTGTTTGTCCTGTAAGCTCTCTGATCCTCCACTGCTGCCTCCACTGGTTTCATAGTTAATCTTTAATCTCTTAAGTGATGCATGGCTGCATCATCTTTGTACAGAAAGTGAAGTCCTCCCTAGGGCTCCAAGTCACTCTCTCTCTTTCCTGTCCTCTGGTCCCTCTCAGCTTCCAGTTTCTCTCAGTTCCTGTTAGGTGTGTGTGGTCATCACACTCCTGTCCCAGTGTGGTGGTGATGGTGGTGTGTGTGTTGGGGGTGTCCCCACAGGAAAGGGAGGGGACACTCAAACTTAGGAATACTGTAAGGAGTTTACCAAGCTTGGGGGCTAGAGAGATGGCTCAGTGGTTAAGAACCTTGGCTGCTCTTCCAGAGGACCCGGGTTTAATTCCTAGTACCCACATGGTAGCTCACATCAGTCTGTAACTCCAGTTCTAGGGGATCCCCTGGCCTTTTCTGGCCTCTGAGGGCGCTGCACACACAGGGTGCACAGACACCTGCAGACAAAGCATGCATACACATAACGTTACAAATAAAATGAAAAAAGATCAAAAGGCCAGGCACGTAGGCACAGACTTAGAATCTCAGAACTTGGAAGGCAGAGGCAGGTGGATGTCTGTGAGTTCTGGGACAGCTAAGGCTGTATTACTGAGACCCTGTATCCAAACAACCAGCAAAGAGTCTACAGAGGTCTGTGCTGCAGGATCTGAGAGCTGAAGCACCAAAGAGGTTCTACAGAGACACAGAACTGACCGCCGCAGGACTCTGGCTACCTCTGCCTGCTGAGGGGCGAGGGCAGCAGCGACCAAGACCTGCAGGAGAGCAGGGGCTGCCTGGCCTGCCACCTCATCACATCCTAACTCTTGCCAGGCCAGGATGGCCATCGGCTAGACCCACACTGAACCCACTGACAGTCAATCGTGGGGTCAGTCTCTTGGGGCAGAGAAAAGGACGGAGAGTAGCCCTGGAACTTTCTCTGAGCCCTTTGTTAGATTTGTTAGCTGTCCATCTATCTGTCCGTCTATCCATCCATCCATCCATCCACCCGCCCACCCACAGAGCCAGCGGGAACTGAGAACGCTCACGCTCCTGGTGCGCCAAGCAGTGTGAGGCGCCCGTTGGACCCCAGCTGGGACCCTCCATGCCCCATCTGTCAGGTGCTCGTCCTGCTCCCCCTCTTCTCTTAACTTCCTTGTTGACAGGTAGCCCCCCTTCTCTTCCTGTATCTGATTTCATCTTGCTCATCTCCGCTTCATTCCTCTCTCCAGAGGAGAGTTATTGAATTTTGCTCGGAGGCTGTGCGTCATTCTCGCTGTGTGTACGTGCTGGCTGCCTTTCTCCCGAGTCTCTTCTTTCCCGGGGCTTTGTGGATGTTGTTCTCAGGCTCTGAGATTGTTTCTGCTTTCATCGATCCTCACTCCCACTCCTTCTCCTCAGAGGAAGTCTTGATCATCTCCATAGCCTGCAAAGCGGCCACATCAGAGTCTTGGCCTGGAATGTAGCTCAGGCTGGCCTCAAACTTGTGGTAATCCTCCTCTGTGTATACCTCCTGGGTGTTGAGGTTATAGGCACGTGTGAGCACATCTGATTTTTCTTTTGGTTTCTTTATCCAATTTTATTCTTACTCTCTGACTTACTCTATTCTTTCATCCTTTCTTCTCTTCCTCCTTCCCTCCCTCCACCATCCATGAATGACCTATCCACAGACCCACAATGCCTGTATACCAGGACTTGTGTCCTTTTTGGCTTACAGTCTCACCAGGAACTCTGTAGGTTTCTTCCTTCCAGAAGCATGGTGCGCATGGCCCCACCCTCTCTGCCCTTCCCCTTGCCTGTTCATGTTCTCGATCTTTTGTATGTCTACAAACTGCTTAATTAGCTCAGTGCCAGGGAATCTCTGTCTCTTCTCCAATTCCTCTTCCTGCTCTCGGCCTTGAGCCCTTGAGCCGGCAAGTGATTCTCCACTCATTTGATGTGTTTTTCCAGGATGAACTAACCTAAGTTCCCCTGTGCCTAACCTATCCTTTAGAAAAGATCCCCCACCCTTCTCCTCAAGC